ACATGACCGAGGGACAGGGAGACAGTGGGATGGGGGCTGGGGGGATGTGGGGCAGGGTACACTTACACCTTGTGCAGCTTCTGGAAAGTACAAGCTTTGTTCCTGGAATCTCCCTGATCCACTGCAGCAACTTTCAGGTGACAGGTGATGAAAATCTGAGGGACACATTCAGCACAAGTTAGTGTTTAGTGACTCCCACCCGATGGGGAGAAGCCAATCAGCAGCTTCCTCTTACCAGGTAACGCTCATCTCCATAGAAGCGGAAGGCATCCAGGTCAAACCTGAGCTTGTCTGGCTCCCGCTCGGCTCTCGGCAACACAAAGGTTGAAAAGGAGTCCTCAGCTTTGCTGTCCAGGAGGCAACTGCAGGTGAACAAAGGGCCATGAAGTGAATGGAGTGAAGCCATTGAGATGGGAGCAGCTGGAGGAAGCAGAGAGCTCCTTACCCATTGTAGTCAATGATGCTGTATCTGGGGCTGGAGTCCTTGTCTGGGCTCAGCGTTGCTACACAGCGGTCAATATATAGCTTCAGGGGCACGTGGTTGTCCATTGAAACAGACGCCTCAATGTGAATGAGGTCTCCCAGGGAGTAGACAGTGGAAGTGCGCTCTGTCAGCCAGTCACCTGAAGTACAAGAGGACAGGGGTTGGAGACAGTGGGTACAACTCCCAGTAAGTGGCAGCAGGAGATCCCTCCCCAGCCACCCATCACATACCATTCATTAGACGCAGGGAGAATGCCAGATGCCCTTCTCCAGACCTGGTGGAGCTGAATGGGATCCAGGTGGGTTTGATGGGGTTACTGCTCACATTGCCCTTCCTGGGGAGAGGCAGCACAGCCATTTCAGGACAGTGTCAGACAACAGCAGGAGCTGTAGATAACGTTGACAGCCAAGGAAAGATTCTCACCTCAAATAACGACACACAATGGGAATGACAGCTCCGTTGGTTCTCACAATGACAGATCCAGGATAGTTTGGGATGTGGGTCAGGTGGGTGGTGTAGATCAGGAAATCTCCAGTCATCTGAAAGACACCAGGTTAAGGAATGGGGAACCGAT